GATTCATGCTTGAGCTTTACTGTGTATTGCACATCTTTCTAAGATTTTCGGCAAAGAGTTATACGGGGGGTCAGGGAAGGAAAAGAAGGGGGACAGTAAGAATTGAACTCACAGTCGTGGTGATTATTTAAACCTTTAGCACTGCAGAGAGGCAGATGACTGCGAAGAATAATCCTGGACAGATATTAATTGTGCACAAACATATTTGATGGCTTTGAATCTTAACTAGTAAAATCATGTTTTTAAAGATGCTGGTGTAAGACATAACTGACACTTGAAAAATATGCTCATCTATCATAGGATAACTACAGATAGCAGTACTAAGTGGCAGAAAGTTACTTGCTGAGCAAGAAAGGGAAAAAGTATGCTCCAATTCAAGAAAGCATATCCAAGAGTATATCTAAGTATAATTATGATTCATGCTTGAGCTTTACTGTGTATTGCACATCTTTCTAAGATTTTCGGCAAAGAGTTATAACCACGCATTGCATTTATTCTGCATATTCTTATCATCTATGATGCTGACGATGAAACAATTGTTGCTTTGCTAGTCATCTTTCCTCTGGGGTTACATATTTTCCTCGGTGATTGGAGGAGCGTTAGTTGACAAATATGGAGGAAAGAAAGTGATTGCTTGGGGTGCAGCTCTTTGGTCTCTCGCCACTCTTCTTACTCCATGGGCAGCAAATCACTCCACAATCAGTCTGTTGGCTATTCGTGCTTTCTTTGGTCTTGCTGAAGGAGTGGCTTTGCCTTCCATGAACACCCTTTTGTCCAGGTAATTTGAATTTCTCATTGTAGCCTAAACACCTAGAACCATAATTCGCTAAATTTGACAGAGCCAAGAATATTTGATATTTACTTTTTCCAAGTACTTTATTAGGAATACAACAATGTTTTGACTTATTATATGGTTAAGTATATACGTAATATTTTTCTTGAAAAAGATATACTATGTAACATTATCCATGCTTAAAGAACGAAGCATCCCGCGTTTACGCAGGGTCCGGGAAATGAATGAGAACCACAATTGTTTTGAAGTTGCCTCATTATCGGCTTGTGGCAAACTGAAAGATACTCCTAAATGCTGAAAAATACTCCACCTAATTGACTTTCAATGTTGTTATTGGCATATTAATCAAGTGAAGCGTTTGTGCTCAAGTTGCAGGCAGTGACTAGTCCTACAAATATTAAGATTGAAAATCTGTTGGTTCCTTGTATATTATGGCTTTATGTAACTGAAAGAAAATCTTCTGCATGTTCAAGAGTTGCTGAGTTTGTATGTGCCTCCAATTATGCAGGTGGTTTCCATGCCATGAACGGGCTACTGCTGTTGGAATATCCATGGGCGGGTTCCATCTTGGAAATGTTGTGGGTTTGGTGCTAACTCCTTTATTTATGTCCTCGGTTGGAATTTCTGGTCCCTTCATCCTTTTCTCATCTCTTGGGCTTCTCTGGCTTACAACGTGGATTAACCGGGTGACAAATGATCCACAAGAAAGCAATTCTATAACAAAAGCAGAGTTGAGGTTAATCCAAGCAGGGAAATCAGATTCTCCTCCTCTAAAAAAAGGAGAACTTCCACCACTGAGACTTCTGTTGTCAAAAATGCCCACTTGGGCTATTATCTTCGCTAACATCACTAATAACTGGGTAACCCCTCTTTCTTTGACTTAGTTCCTTCTTGGTACAAGAGCATATATGCTGCTTGATATTTGGTGATAAAATATTTGAAACTATGAAGATTGTATAATGAACTTTAAAAATCTTCAACTTGTTGCAGGGATATTTTGTTCTTCTCTCCTGGATGCCTGTTTATTTCAAAACTGTGAGTCACTGTTCCATTATTTCATCTTGTTTAGAAGATAAAACAAGTTCCCTCTGTATGATATGTTATAAGTTACCGTCTTTAACCTGTGGTTGTAAATATACTAGGACCGTACGTGTTTAGACTGCGAGCCTATTTTCAGAAAAATCTTGTGGAAACTCTTGTTAGTATCTGCTTGATAGGTTGTTTCCTTTGTTGTCAGGTTTTTAATGTGAATTTGAAGCAAGCAGCTTGGTTTAGTGCAGTGCCATGGGGCACAATGGCATTCTCAGGCTATGTTGCTGGAGCTGCATCAGATTTCCTAATCAAAGCGGGGTACTCATTGACCTTTGTCAGGAAAGTTATGCAGGTAACTTATCTACCATTTGAAACAGCTGTATAAAGGGGAAAAAACTTTATTGGGTAACATAATGTTAAAATCCGTAGTGCACGTACAAAAAATGGCCTATAATGATATGGTGTTCTTGCAACAAGTTACGCCTTCTTTGAGAAGACATTCATGACCAGCAAATGATATATTACATTTACACAGCACAAGTGTATTTCTTCATTTCCTCGCACTTCTACTCCTCAATTATCATTCATAGATATGAAAGTTATGTTGATAATCCATTTTTTTCTTCTTATAAGGGGTGTGACTGATCCAAAATCTTGTCTACTATTCTCTTAATCTGTCCAGCATTCATGACCCGATTTGAGCTTTTTATGAAATTCCCACATCTAATTTGTTTTAAAATATTGCAGTCTATCGGTTTCATTGGTCCCGGGGTGTCTTTGCTCTGCTTGAATTATGCCAAAACACCTGAGGTTGCAGCAGTGATGATAACTATAGCCCTGAGCTTCAGCTCTTTCAGCCAAGCTGGTTTTCTACTTAATATGCAAGTAAGCTACATATTTCAATTGTTGATTCTTCCTTTAACTAATCTCTAAAGCTACTTATTGACAGTTAACTTTACTCTGAAAGTCAATTTACTTAGCTTGCCTTTTCTTTTTTGGATAGGATATTGCACCTCAATATGCAGGATTTCTACATGGTATGTATCTGTCATAACCTTACTTCTGGTACTCTTTAGGGGTCGTTTGGTTATAATGCAAATGTTGTTTATGTGGTGAATAATAATGCACTTTTTTGGTGAATAATAATAATAATGCTTTAGTTTTCAAAACTATTCTTATTCATGTATTGCTAATTTACGTATTTTTATCCTCCATTGTATTGTATCCCATATAAGATAATACATAGATTATCTTATAAGTTATACCTGTATTAGTAATACAACACTTGGTTTGCGGTATTGACTCCATATACGGCATTAGTTTTGGAGATATATTATTAGTTATGCTGGATTTTATACCGAAATCTATATTTGTTTATGTAATACGAGCTTTATATGGAGATTAAATTTTCTTATACTTCAAAATAAACAACTCCTAAATATCTGAGGTTCTTGTGCACCTAACATGTTTTTTTCTCTTATCAAATAGGGATTTCAAATTCAGCAGGGACACTGGCAGCTATAATAAGCACAATTGGAACAGGCTTCTTTGTACAATGGCTAGGATCTTTCCAAGCATTCTTATCTCTCACTGCTTGCCTCTACTTTGTCACAGCCATCTTTTGGAATGTCTATGCCACTGGAGAGAGAGTTTTTTAGACTATAGTCTAATATTCTCCAAATGATGGCTGGCTTATAAATTCATTTAGAGATAGCAGAAAGGACAACAATTACATCCTAATTTACAAATATTCAATTTTTTCTTGTCACTCACTCTCATGGATGTGAGTGAGAATATATATATTTTTTTTCACGTGTAGTTTACTATTTTATCTTTTGAAAGAAAGAGGAATAGCCTACTTATTTTTCATCCTTGTAAACATTTTAGTTACTTTTAGAAGAATTTATTAGAGAAATTCTTGAAGCATAGTTCTTTAACAAAACTGTCTTGTATTTGTCCTTGACCCTAAGGAAAGGATCTCCAACTTGAAGTATAATGGAGGGTAATTCTAAATCATAGTTGATTAAACATAAACCTATTTATCCAAAGTTTTTAACTCACATAATTCACCCCGTCCATATTGAAGCTTCATTAAATCAGCTTATAAGCACTTTTTGACTTAATTTGATGAACACTAAAAATATTTATAGGCAAAAAGTCATCACCCTCACCTTTTTCACGACTTCTTTCAAAACCTATCAACATCGTTCGCCACTGTCAAGAGAGCTCAAATTCTCAGGAAGATGTTTACCGTCAAAAGCAATCACATTGCTTTGGTTGAGAAAGCTCTCACTTTTGTAAATAAGCCTTCTTCATCTCTTTTATTTTTAAAATTTTTTGTAAATAAGCCTTCTTCATCTCTTTTATTTTTAAAAATTTGTTTGCATTGTGAGAAAAAAGAACGCTGCGGTTCTACAACAACATACGTTGCCGGGATATTCCAAAGTTCTATTGTGTTTCCTATCCAAATATGAACCAAATATCTATTCTTTGTTGCGTCGTGTTTGTAAGGAAAAACGTGGTTGTTTTGCAGAAACATATGTTCAGATTCCAAAGTTCTCGTGTTTTCCAAATTATTGTTTCATTTTATATTAGCTTATCATAAAATTTGCACAGTCCGTCCAGTACAAAGTGGATATATTTGTTTACCCTTAAAATGAGTAATAATTAAATTTGTACGCGGTTTAAGGGATACGCGATTTAATTTAACACGAATGACCAAAGAACAATTTGTAATTGAATTAAAGGAAAATAAAACGATCAAACCAAATGTGATGAAGTAATTAAGCCTGGCGTTAGATTTGAATGCTAAAGACCGGTTCTAATCGAGCCCTCGGAATGGAGCTCGGTTGCAACTGAATGGATGAATAGCTTGAAAAACACTTGATCAATTGCTAAAAAATAAAAGTAAACTTTATTGTTTGATATGCATGCTAGCAATGACCCCAAAAATAAAAAAGGTTCCTCTCTTTATGTAGTAGAGGAGTTTTAACCTTAATACAAGTCTAAATAAGGTAAAAATCCTTTCCTTCCTTTTTTCCCAAGGAAACACGATACGTAGTTAATATTGGGTGTGATTCGTGCCGTAATATCCGGCTGGTGGCGGATATTTCGGCTCCTCGTTTGTCCTCTTTAACCGTCTTCCCTTTAACCTCGATTCTTTGATTCACTCGAGCTTGATGGTTCCGTGTTTGGCCATGCTCGATTCACGACGTACCATTCGTCCACCCCCGGGCTTCGATCTGCGGGCACCCTCGGCCTTACCCGAGCCAGCGTCGAACCACGTTAGTTCCTCATTTTTTTATCGAAAAATCGGGGGTAACTTTTATCCTCGATTTTACCCGTACACAGATAGTTTCCTCACTTCTCGGGGAGTAGATTTATAGGAACGATGAGAAGCGACTAATTGACCCCAGTTCCTTCCTTCGTACACCATAAGCAAGTTGACGGGCCGAAACGTCCCATCAGTTACATCGCTCTGATTTTGGACACGCGCCAGCCGCTAGTTGATCATCTTCGATAGTTACCGAATGTGAAACTTCATGCATTCATTATTCCTTCCCTCTAAAAGCGCTGATTTCCCTTTTTCACTTTTTTACTTTCTGATTTAAAACCTTCTTGAGTTACCCTCGAGTTTTTCATCTGTTCATCAATCCTTCAAATCTTCATAATCTATTCTTCACATCTTCATACCTTCATATCTTATCTTCAAACCTTCATACTTTACCTTCAAACCTCCATACCAAATCTTCAAACCTTCATACCAGACCTTTAAACCTTCATATTTCCGGATTGAGATGGCTAAGGCTTCGAAATCGATACCCCAAAATACTGTACCTTTGACTTCTTCCCCGGCTACAGGCACCGATGAAGGACTTCCGGTAGTAGCCCCGGGACCTCCCCTTACAGATTTTATCCCTTGGGTCTTCTCCATAGATAACGACTTCAAGGTCGAAAAAGCCTCCGCACAAGGAGACCAAGGTGAGGAGGCATGGAGGTATGTTTGCTCCATCACTGAGGAGAAGCTCCAAGTGGTCTGAGAGGACTACAAATGGGAAGGCAAAGACATAGTCATTCCCAGTCCCGATGAGGACATCACGACACACGTGGAAGGATATTTAAGCATTTACACGTATCCTTTCACGTTCGGTCCGGTGGATACGGTGATCCTCGAGTTCCGTAAGAGATACAAAATCTGCCTCGGGCAGATTCATCCGTCTCTTTGGAGGATTGTGACCCTTTTACGTTATGAACAACTTGGAGGAGCCTCGGTTCACAATTGACAACCTGCTCCGAGTCTACAGCCGCCGGATCTTCCAGGAGGGTTAATTAAGCTCGCTCGTCGGGCAAAGAAAGCTCCCTTCTCTTGCATAGATGAGGACAAGGATCGAGGCTGGCACGTAAGGTTTGTTTGGATAAAGACAGAGGACCTTATTCCTTCCGAGTTTCTGTCGTTCCCCGAGAAGCGGAACTCAAAACGTAAGTTTACTTCCTCTTAAGTTGTCAAAGTACTTTTTTGAATCTGCTCTTCTTTCTCATTATTTGTCTCATTTGACATGCAGCTATCGCCTGAGTCCTCAATGTGGTCCCTAATTTTATGGAGTGGGTCTAGGGCATATGCAAACAACCCACCTATCCCGAGCGTGAGTGGCGCAAGCTTTCCAAAGGCAAGTGGGAGGCTTGTTCTCATAGTGAGTCCCCTCCCTTTTTTCATTGAATGTTTTTTCTTTAGCCATTTCTTATTATGTCATTGTTACAACTAAGTCTTTTCCTTCCACAGGTTTGCCTAATACTACTAAACTTCAGGAAATCAACGAGGCTGTGGCCTCGACCCTGTCTATAAAGCCCTCCGCTTCACTACAGCCTACTGCCGAAGCTGCTGAGAAGAAGGAGGAGAAAACGAAGAAGAAAAGGTCTCTTGACTCCTCGGATGCTCCTGCCGAGGCAAAGAAAAAGAAAAGGATCGTGTTCAGGGTTAGAAAGATCACCAAAAGGGCTTCGGGTGCTCAGGTTCCGGATCTCGAGGCTCTTCATTGGCTCAAGGACTTTCTCGATGATGACGATGACTTGTCGTCACTCACGTGCCGATCGATGCCGACCTAGAATTAGTGGCCCCAGATAGGGACGCTCGAAAGGCTGAGCCTTCCTCTACTCGAGGGCTTGGAGAAGAACAAGTGGCTACCACTTCGCAAGAAGTTCCTCCGGTTTCGAGGGGGCGGCCTCGAAAACCGACTATGTTATCCACGTTCCGGAGTCACCGCCTCATATGGAGGCCATTTAGACGAAGCTTGGGGCGCCGCAGAAAAGTTGACTGAGGCGTCGCGGGCCATGGATGAAGCCCTTAACTCATTTTTGGAGGGCGTGTACATCTGCACGCTAGCGGATTACTTCGTCTTTGGCCACCTAGAGATGTCAAAAGGGTCGTGCACCAGGGTCAGGTGGGCCGAGTTCGAGCCCAAATCTCGAGAAGCAGTTTTATGCCCCGAGTGTGCACCCTAAACGGAAGAAGATGGTCATGTTCTCAGTGTCGGTGAATACTAGCATGCTATACGGGCCAGTCGGAGTGGCCACCTATCTCCGTCCTTGGTAACCAAAGAGGACCAAGTGAAGATGAACGAGGTAGACGGGCCAAGCCTCTTCAACGAGGCTCAGCAGGCGTTGAATATGGTATACCTTCCTCTCTTTTTTATCATAAAGATTTCTCTTTACCTTAACTACATCTTAACAATTTCTCTTTCTTTATGTCTCAGGCCTCGGTGCTTCACCATGAAAGCTTTCACTGGTCCAGGATGGAGGTGAGCCACCTTGAATTCGAGCTCAAGGAGTAGTTCTGGCAAAAAGAGATGTATAAAGCTCTTTGTGAGCAGAAGGATGAAGTCCTCAGGGACATGGTCGACCGCCCTGCCCTCCAAGCCTGGAGAAAGCCCAAAAGGAGGCTTCAAAAGCAAAACAGGACATGCCCTTCTTGTTGAAAAGGTAAGAGTGCTCGAGATCGATAACGAGAGGTTAAATGCAAATGCTAATGCCGCAACCTTGCATGTCCAGGAAAAAATAACCTTGATCGACCAGCTTAGATCTGAAATGGATGAGGTCAAGGCTTCAACTGATGAATTGAGGGGAAAAATGGATCTACTAGCATCAGAGCAGGATGCCACCAAAGAGGACCTGGCATCGACCAAAGTGCAGCTCTGAGTGATGAGAGAAAAGGTCGATAAATGGTCTCTATTGAATGAGGAGCTACTGACGCAACTCACCTCGGCTGTTTGCAGAGCGTGACGCTCTCGGCCAAGAATATATATATATTTTTTCACGTGTAGTTTACTATTTTATCTTTTGAAAGAAAGAGGAATAGCCTACTTATTTTTCATCCTTGTAAATATTTTAGTTACTTTTAGAAGAATTTATTAGAGAAATTCTGGAAGCATAGTTCTTTAACAAAACTGTCTTGTATTTGTCCTTGACCCTAAGGAAAGGATCTCCAACTTGAAGTATAATGGAGGGTTATTCTAAATCATATTTGATTAAACATAAACCTATTTATCCAAAGTTTTTAACTCACATAATTCACCCCGTCCATATAGAAGATTCATCAAATCAGCTTATAAGCACTTTTTGACTTAATTTGATGAATACTAAAAATATTTATAGGCAAAAAGTCATCACCCTCACCTTTTTCACGACTTCTTTCAAAACCTATAAACACCGTTCGCCACTGTCAAGAGAGCTCAAATTCTTAGGAAGATGTTTACCGTCAAAAGCAATCACATTGCTTTGGTTGGGAAAGCTCTCACTTTTGTAAATAAGCCTTCTTCATCTCTTTTATTTTTAAAAATTTGTTTGGATTGTGAGAAAAAAAGAACGTTGCGGTTCTACAGCAACATACGTTGCCGGGATATTCCAAAGTTCTATTGTGTTTCCTATCC